CAAGTAGACACTGGGTTTGGTGGAAAAATTCAGTGCAAAAGAGAAACCCCGATAAAAAAGCCTAAAAACACGCTAAAAATACCCCCAAAACCCATACCTCTGCTTGGAGAGTAGCAATGATGATGATGACAGACGGTCATTGAAACATCGGCTCTTGTTGAAGAAGTGGTGGTGCATAAAGAAATTTGCCATTCTGTTTCTCATCAAGTATCCAGATGCGATGGTTTGTTCTCCACCTTCCCTGCTGCAGTCTTCTGACTAGTTTGATATATCAGTCATTAATAATAAATAAACAAATAATAATGAATAAATATATCAGTCATGTGGTGGACAATGTCATGCGCATCATGATGTTGACAGCAATTCCTGATTTCACAATGTCTTTTATTTTTTTCCGCACAGTGTCGACTTGCTCTGCTCCACACAAGGCCCTTCAGTAATGAAGTCCTCCTCGGTTTATCATACAGTCAGATGACTCACTCACTAGAGAATGGCCTAACCTTCACATGACTCTTCCAAGGGCGGCTGAATTATATCTCTGACTACCAGCTCTCAGCAAATTGGTGAGATTTAGAAAGCTTACAGACAGATGCCTGCAGCAATAGCGGCACCAAAAGGTTGGATCAAAGGTTGTCATCACATACCGGTAGTATGTGGTAGATATTCCTTGCAAATGTTACTGGTATTTTAGAGATATTACACAATCCAATTAAGCCAAGTTTAAGCTCATAAGACTAAGAGGGTGAGCATAGCGTGTGACACAGTCATCCCACCTCACAATCAATTCTACAGTTGTAATTTTGTAGCATATCGAATGGCCTGCTGTTTTCTTGAGACAATCATATCAACATTTGTATATAATACCTGTACTGACAGGATTACAAGAAGTCAAAACACAGATATAATTTATAATATAGTCTTTACAATTACAGTACAGAATTGAAATCTATACATACAGTTACAAACAGTTAAACACTTCTAAATCTAAATCTTCTAAAATTCTACCTACTGTAAAAAAGCACAATGCAGTTTATGTCCTTACCTTATGTGCTGCCCCCCTGTGCTGTGCCAGTTTCTTGGTGCCCTTGCAGACTCCAGTGCTGGACAGTTCAGCCACTCTCACCTGCCCGTCACGTGCACAGCTCACCACAGTACAATCCCCACTGTACGGCATGAACTTGGCCTGGAATCATAAAATAAAGCATTATCTAACTAAAAAACACAGTACATGCTTATATATATATATATATATATGGTGTTGACAGTATTTTCCTTCGTGACTACTAGTACTAATTACATTGTTCATGTGTGAGTGGTTCAAACTAGTCTCAGGGTTGACATCTTGTAAAGGTGATAGTTACCTGTCACTTTTTCCAAAGTGTGGTATATCTCAATAAAAAGACAGAATAAATAATAATTTGGTTCAATTTGCATTTCCTTTTGATAAGACCTACATTTTGTAAATCATATTGAGATATACAATATACATGTAGGTTGTCCAAGAGCCTTTTCCTACATACAACTTGTTAGGGTCGATAAGCGAGTGCTATCCATTATTTTGACATGGCTTCCATGTAGCAAGTTAACACTGGAAATCTGGATTACAGGAACAAGTAATACTAATAAAGTCAAGGTGAATGTTCTAGCTCTTCTCCAACCTCTGACAACAATGGTTACCATATAATATATCCTGCTTTATATCATACCCGGGCCGCGATAATGGTAATACTTTACGGTACGGCCCGGTCCGGAACCCGTTATCGAACGCTTCCATGGCTTCCATAAAACGATTCGAACGCGTTTCGCCCTAACCGCGTGTGCCCTTTTCGAAAATTCGAATACAGAATCCGGACGTTGGAAATGATGTTGTTGCATTTGAGGGTTTAGGGGCACCTACTTTTGGCTCATCTTGCATTGAAAGGCGCGTTTTCTTGGGTGGGTATGATATAAAAAAAATACAACACGGTGTATTCCGCATCGCCCTCGGTCCCGGCCCTCCCGCGAGTCGGATTTGCGGCCGTCGGGCGATCCGACCCGCGGTCGGGCCGATACCTCGGGCGATACGGAATACCGCGTGTTGTATTCTATATTCAGCCACTTCTGTATTCAGTAATTATCATAGATTATATTAGAAATTGAATGAAGGCCATGATTTTATTACGATGTCACACAAAGTCCACCTCTCCTCCTTGATATGATTGAAAGTTACAGCGATGTGATGATACCATGGACTTTTTCTACTTAGCGAGATTAGACAATGCCAAAATAGTGCTGACAATCAGACAATTAAAGTTCGTTAATGATGTCTAGAAAATCCAAGAGCTTTTCTACTTCAAAACTGGAATACCTATTAGGTAATAACAGTAGTCTAAATCTGGCAGAAGCGACATTACCAGCCCGACCTAACACATTACCGCTACAGGCAGCCAGCCAAAGAATGCATTAACGTCAATGTTGGAGAGGCAGCGGACCAAAGTGCCATACTTCTGCAATAAAATTTGTTGTGACAATCTATGATCAGGCATAAAGAAAATCTGGTACATAATTCTGTATCTGTATCTGTATAGCCGGCATAACCGCCTTTCGGCGTAACACACCAGCTTGGCAAGGCAAGCGTACATCTTAATTAGGCTTTAATTCACCCTGGGAAAGGTTTTCTGTACAAACAGGGTTTTTTGGGAGTATTACGTAAAAACTATACACTCTGTCTAAACACTGTTTATCATAATATCATAACTTATACATTGAGCATTCCGCAGATTGTTATATTATAATCAACAATATTAATTCTTTTCAATTGCAATTTTTGCCTGTGGCAGATGCTGATACTGTAATATGTCCTGCCAACCATGCACCTAGTACTGGTATTTCTAAACCTGGGCCCTGATCATGTGAAATAGAGATGACTGAACATGTAAATACAGTTACAGATACTCCACTGGTGAACTGTACATGTGTTTTATCGGGGCATAGCATGCGCAGAATTACTTCCGCCTGTTTCTTGCACTTGGGTAGCTTACAGCTCTAGGCAAACACCTCAAATATAGCTACTGGACCATGCGAAAAAGGGTGAGGTGTGTGGTAACAATTTTCCAGCACATAGCACTTCATAATAATAGGATCATAGGATGAAATTCACTTGAATAGAACCAAGAATATTCTTTTAACTAAAGATTTGAACATCTCTCCAGATCGCCATAGGTCAAAACAGGTAACCCTCAAGACTTTACCATATCTTGCAGGTGACAAGATACGGCAGCAACTGATGAAGATGGATGAAAAACGCTTTGCTTCATTTTTGTACATACTGTACCATGTTGGCTTTTGACCTCTCCAGGGTCTCACAGCGTCAAGCCACAAATTCTTCAAATTTACCTTCTTGTAATAATGACATGAATTTCTTTAATAACTATCTCAAATCTGTTACAGTACTTGGGGAAACCTTGATAAACGACTTGGAGACTGAAGCATATCACTGTTCACAGGAACATGATTAGTATGAAAAGCCGCCGATATCGGTGTTGACAAATGATGGTACGCCCCTTAACACATCATCAAGCTGCCTGCAAGCCATCCCATTTATAAGTGTACAGCATTAGCACCAGCTCCGGAATATATGTACTTGTCAGCACGTTATGGCCATAAAGAAACTGCCATAAAGAGAAGTACCATGTATTTTCCATACTGTACTAATGGCAGAATTTTGTTGATGTGATGTATATAGCTATATATACAGTTACATATAATCATTACGTTTACATCATACGGATATGTTCCAAACTGGTAGGTTTAATAAATTAAAGCTATTGGCTGTACGTGTACTACCGTATAATTCATGTCTTTATGTGTTATAAAGGTTTAGTGAGCTGACTGTGCTATATTAATAGAAAATGTCTTGAATTTTTAATGCAAAAACTTCAAATACATGTACATGTACAATCAATACCATCACCATTACAATGTATATATAGCTTTATCATTGAACATTCTCACTTGATGTGATGATGGATATTTAACTATTGGATTTCATGATTCTCAATTTGATTATGAATCTTGCAAAATCTTTTGGCTATTCTGTTCAATTAAGTTTTGCTTGCTTTACCATTGGCAAGTATGTCAAAAATGGTAATATGACTACTGCGAGAGTTTCTGCTTAAGAGATATCTATGACATATCCAGAAGGCACACATACACCTGTGCATGCCATCATGGACATGGAAACCACTCTTACTCCTGTTTACTTGGTCACACCAGATGCTGGCAGTGAAACAGAAAATGCAGTGCTAGTGGTATCTTATTGTCTTTCGTAGAGTTGAACTTGAAAGCAAGAATTTTAAAAGTGATACTTTTCTATATCTAGGT